CGTATGACGAAGAGCAAGGGCAGCTTGACGCCATCAGCACGTACTGTCAAGACAACGGTCATTCGAAGCGAGTGCTTTTCGCCAGAGGAAATCTTTGCACCCGACCCACGTACGGACCAAATGTATCTTGGTGGCATATCATAGTGGAAACCGGTCTCATCAACGTTGTAGATGGCGTCCTTGTCATAGCCTCGGTAGGCGCGGTGGAAATCGTCGGCGAACTCGTCGCGAACCTCGATCAAGGCGGCTTGGGTTTGCTTGCTGTAGCCGGACTTTTGGTGCGAGAATCCGTGTCGATGGCAGAAACGCTGGAGGAGACGGAGAAGCCCTTGGTAGCCCCTTCCAGGTTCTTTTCCAGCGAGGTATTGGCGAAGCCATTCGACTTGGTGGCGTTTAATCCAATTGATAATGTGAGTCGTTGTTAAGGCCCTTTCTCGTACCCTCATTTCCGTTATGTACTCGACGAGACCTACTGGATCGGGGAAAGTCTCGCAGCGGCCGCCAGGGCTGATTTTCATACGCTTTTTGTTGCCTTTGTATTTGAGGATTTCGTTGCGCTGACTGACCCAAGAACGAATGGTTCGCCTAGGTATGCCGAGTTCCTTGGAGACATGGAGCTGGCTTGAAGTCTCAAGGAGTTTTAGCACCTGCACCTTCAACGCCACGGTGTACGACCGCTTTGGCGTTCGAAGTGTTGAGTTCACGGTCATGAAATGCTGAATGAAAGGCAATCACAATTTAAAGGGAACTCGCGCCGGCGGGAAAAAATATTCACAAGCCAATCAGGTTGCATTATTTTTTGGTGATGTGTTATTGGACAAAAGTAGAGTTGCATTCGTCGAAACTTCGGGTGGCGTTCCATTCCGTCGGTCACTGTACTTGGCTATAATATAACCGTATGTCGAAGTTGTTCGTCCACACTACCGATGTTTTTCACGAAGTATCAATAGGCTACCATAGACTCGCTTCAGCGCTTCTCGTGTTTGACGTTGTAAGGGGCATTGGAGATGCAAAAACATAGTTCATGCGGACCACTGACAACCATTACAGAAAGGGGGCACCGCTATCTCTACACTACCAACGAATTGTGCTAGGGCTGGCTTTGCGTTGACAGCGTATATTATATTCCCTTGTAGTTCTAGGCATCCATTCCTTGCTCGGATTCTGTCGACTTGACCTTGCCATTCACACTCCCCGCGACGCCCACACGCTCTAGAGCTCGTGGCAGCTGGGTCGAACAAGTTGAAAACCTGAGATGCACCGCCAGCACAAATTTCCAACTAGGAATAGACAGCGCACCTGCGCCGGGCCTGCCGACGGACGGTCCAGCGCCCGCCCTGTCCCTGGAGCGCATGGGCAAGTGAAAGTGTTGTTGGGTTGTAAGATCACCCAATCACAGAGCTCGCTTTTTTCGGGACCAACTGCCCACCCCATCGCACACATCGAAAATGCCAGCCGAGGGCGAGAAAGCAACGGCTACAACAGCCGCCATGTCGGTTCTCGGCTGCAAAGACGTCATGGCCGTCGTTTGCAGCTACCAAGGCGGTCTATTCTACGACATGCTGGCCATTTACCACCACATGGTCCCGTATGAGCTCAAGAAGTACACGTTGCAGTACTGCCCTGACGATGTCCAAGAGCTCTTGGTCCGGTACCCGCCGTCTCGCCTACTTTTGTTGTCCGAGTGCATGCCGTACATGCAAAACGTACTCTTCTTGTTGGCCGCCCAGTTGGGAAACCTCAACCTCCTGAGGGCTCTGGAGGCTCGGTACACATTGCAGGCCACCCCCGGCAACCTCCTCGATTTGGCGGCGCAGAATGGCCACTATGACGTGTTAACGTACTTGCACTATCACGCCCCAACAGTTGGCTGCACCACCGCGGCGATGGATATCGCAGCGTCGAATGGATACCTCGACATTGTCAAGTTTCTCCATACCAATCGACGCGAAGGCTGCACGACGATGGCGCTGGACTATGCGGCAGAACGGGGGCACCTGGAAGTTGTTCGCTTCCTTAACAGAAATCGACATGAAGGCGGCGAGCATGCCATGCACTATGCTGCTACAAACGGCCACGTGGACGTGTTTTTATATCTGTCCAACGCAACGCGCGGCCTGCTGACGTTTGGCGCGTGCAATGGATGCTTGCCCCGGCGAAGATGATTAACGAGTGGAGGTTCCTGCAAGAGAGCTTTCGTTGGTATAGCAGAAGCAGCAAAAGTGAACAGGAGCTTTCACTCATGGCTGAAGTGCTTGCTATCGTTCCTGTCGTCAGGGTTTGACTAGGTAGGTCTCAGGTGGGAGTGGCGTGCTGAGGACGGAACAAAGGCGCCACCTTGCTCTCTAGGACATGGGTACAAAGGAGTAGAAACATTTCGCATTCCCTGAGGCAAAAAGACCTCAACTACCGGTTCTGCATCCTCACACCCCTGTTGTAGATTCGGCTGCATTGAATGCCACTATATCGACAGCCCGCGAACGCGTGGAAGTGGCAGAAGTACTTGCGATCAGGCGGAGATGAAATGCAGCCGCCAGTAGCGCGTTCAGTCGTCGAAATGCTGGTACGGAATACCTTGGATCGCAGCGTCGCCCTCCAACGCGTACAGCGTCTGGCACCAATACTTGCGTCGATACTTGTCAGGGTCAATTTTGTGCTGTACGGTCAGAATCGTTTGCGACTACGCCCGCACCATGAGATGGACTCGAGCATGGCCACAGGCCACACGACGTACGCGCTCGAGGTGAAAAAAAAGCAACCGGTCGTCCCAAATGTCTTCGTACGTCCGGCCGAGCATCTAGACACGGCGGTCGGCCAAGATGACATGACGACGAGTAGACCCACCGCGACGAGGAGATTGAGCATCATGATCGTGCCAAAGCACGTGTACAAGATGTACAGCATGACCGCGACCGGCCCGCCCGCTGAAATCGATGCCCAGTCCCATTGCCCCAAGCTCATTTGGTACACCGAGTTGGTCGAACTCATGAGGGTGCGGAACCCGTTCAGCTACAGACCACGCGTCCTGGGCATACATCACGATCTCTCGACGGGCTTACCTGGAGAACGTAGAATGCAAAAGCAAACCCAAACAGGAACAGGACAAACACGAACAAGAACATGGCAATATCGCCCATCATCTACAAACAGACCGTTATGGGCGGGATCGCCAGGAGGACGCCGTCGCGCGCACTTGATAAATCATGCGAACAAACGGCCCGAGCGTCTGATTGCCACGACAAAACTGCAGCCACCGTATAAATATCTAGGATCGCCGCGTGAGGGGGGGAGACCACATGTCGGGCGTACTTGCGGAGCGGTGATGCACATGATGGTCGTGTGCCAGTCGTACTCGCGGTACAAGACAACGTTGAAGGTCGACTCTTGGTACGTCTTGACGCGGAAATGGTCTTCGTATATAAAAGCGGAAGCGCTCCACGTGTCCCACGCGACGGGCGACGCTCGAAAGTACACGATAAAGTCCAAGATGGTCGTGAACCAGATGCCGCAGAGGAGGACCATGTCAAAGATATTCCAGATATTGGCGCAGTATGTGAAAAAGAGGAGCCACCCGCCGCGATAGATCTCTTGTATCTACCAACCGCAGTTGTCAGCGCAGCACCGATATCGCGGAAAGGTCGTACGTGACGCCACGTGTATTGCGCCGTGAAAATCAAACAAATGAACGACGCAATTGCGCGCAAGTAGTCGAGTGGCCCGGCCATCGTCCCAAACAGCGGCGCTTGGTACCCGCCTTCTTTCAGCCCGATCGACGTATCCCCAACCAGCAACACACTACAACGGTTGATCTGCAAACAACCATCGCAGCAGGTTCACGTACATGGAGAGGAAGTACGACGAGAAGAAGAGCATGTACACGCGCAGTTGGCGCATAAAGTGCTTGCGTGCAAAGATATTCCATCTGAAAAGCAACGGTGGGCCATGGCGATCGATCGCGACGACGTACTTGTGGTCGCGCAGCTTTTGCACCCACGGATGGGCCATCAGTTCCTTGCATTCCGACTACACACATCGTTGCAACTTGCTCCGCAACGCACGGCGGCATACCTTAATGATGAGTTCAAACGTCGGGCTTGACCCGGAGCTCGTCTCGCTTTCGTATCGGTACTCGTACACGATACCCGTGGACTTGCCGACTGCTTGGAGTACTGTGTCCATGATCACGCTGTCTGTCTTTCGATACCGCCGCTTTGGGCGGTGGCCGAGCACGAACGCCCAGCATTTCAAGATGGCCTGGTACATGTAAAAGAGCCACTTGCGTCGGCGGGGGGCTTTCCGCACGGGTGGCCCCTTCTGCTTCATTTTGTGCACAAGCTTCTTCCGCCGATCGTCGTTGGAAAGCCAGCCCTCTGTGTGCCAGCTCTGGCCGACCGTTCGAATGCCTACAACCTGCGTTGGAACAAACGGCGGGGGACCAACCACAACCTGGGACAACTCGACATCGAAACAGTGGCGTGCGAAAGTGATCGATGGCCATGTACGCAACCTTGGGCATGTTGACGATCAAGAGATGGAGAATCTTGGTCTGCGACTGCCTCGCAAGCGCGATCTTGTACCGCGGCATCGAAATATGCGTGCCAATGTAAAAGATCACGAGCGGCGAGTTGCGGTTCCGGGTGTCTTCTAAGGACGGCGCGAGGCGGAAAAATACCATTTCACCCAGCCGCGGATCGTCGTGGTCGAACTGCCGCATGCACACGCCTACATCGGACAACGATGTTGTCAGTACATGACAACCACACGTTTCTCAGCGGCGGACGTACCAACGGTCGCCTGGACGAAACGGGTGGTTGTTTTGCCAGGGCTCACGCGTTTTGTTGCCGGTGTGGCTGGCTTGACATCTGTGTTGGGTTTCCGCGCTTTTGCTAGCACTACCGCATATCGTGTGCTTCGTACGATGACTGCAACGACGACGCACCTGCAGCGCCTTCCGCCAGCATTTGGCACTGCTCTTCGCCTGCTGGCGCTGTCACGATGACACCGCGAAGGCGCTGTCCCGTGTCGAGCTCCACAGCGCGATATCGCGCAATCGTTACGTCTGCTTTCCTCCGCACGAGCAGCTCGCACACCTACAGATGAGAACACCGCCATCAGAACCATCACAGCCTCACGTTTCAATGGCCACACGGGCTTGACGAAACAGACCAACGTACCGACTCGTGCATGCTGGATATTGCAAAGTGCAGCCTACAATCCAACCATCCATGAGTCCTCGAGACTTGGATCGATACCCTCGTCGTTCAGAAACGAAGTAATCGTACGGAGCTTCGCCTCGAACATTCTGTTCGTTGATATATGCGCCATGCTCGAGCAGGAACTCGCACACGTTGACGTAGCCACCTTCGGCAGCGTAATGCAGTGGCGTATTTCCATGGACGTCGCGGGCACGGACGATGGGGTGGCCGCAGATTTTAAACATGTCTTGGAGAGTCACGTCCTTGAAATGGAACTGATCGATTGCGTTGAACACGTAGTCGGGTGCCAGGCCCTAATGACACGTTACGTATGAGCTGGCGGCTTGGCGGGGCAAGGTACCAAGGCTTTAATGGTTTCGATCACGTCGAGACCGCATTCCCGAAGGAGTTTTCCCTCTCGCTTGGCTTGGTTGACTTGGTCCAGCAGCTTGTACAGCAGAGTTGTGTGGGACGATTCCTCGCAACGATCCGAGCTAGGGGGCTGCGTGCTCCAAAACGCAACGAGCAACGAAAGTAGCTCGAGGTAGCCACGCTGGCACGCTGCATGAGCCACTGTAATGCGATCAATGGTATGCTTCTGGAGCAAGTCCAAGTTGATGTTGGTCGGGTCTTCCAGAATGCGCAAGATACGGGGCAAGTTGGGTCCCCCGACGACGATGTACCCGTCTTCGTGCGTCGACATCCCATCCGGCAGTGGCTCTGTCCGACAGCACTCGTCGAAGAGACGCTCGCACACGAATCGGACGTATTCAGCGGGTTTTGCCATGGCCAGCACTTTCTTCTTCGCCAAGTGCCGCCGAATCGCGCATTGAGTCTTGATGATAGCCTTAATCTCGTCTGGGGAAAAGTTGTACTCGTCCATCAAGTCCTGCTTGACGCCGTTGGCTGGTGGCACGTTCGGCGAGGCGCGCTGCTCTGGCAAGGACGACGACGCGAGGTTGAATGATTTCGCAGAGATGCGATCTCTTGCCATTCGAAGCCCAGGGTCCTGCGACGGCGGGAGCGACGCAATGATCGGAGGTGGTTTCGCCGCGAGAATCGAGATGCGCTGTTGTGCTTTGGCCTGAATTCGCTTGTCCTAGCACTTGTGTGGGCCACACATGGTCCCAGACGATAGAAACGCTGCTAATTACCTTGTGAAATTGCTTGTATGCTGAGAGAAGGTCGGTGGTGTTCTTGGCCACGACTGCGGCCGAGACAGGTGGAAGGGTGTGCGGCTTGGGGGAAGTCGGTCGTGGGGCCGACACGGCTGTTCTCCGCCGATCCATGGAGTCACGGAGCGCCGCCGCAGTCCCCGCCGGATCCATCTTCGCCCGACAGTGTGACCTTTCGCCTGAAACGGTAATACTGCTTGAATTGATATTCCTGTGAAACTCGATATCCATGTTGTCATTGATATGCCTTATTGTGTCGCACATGGTAAAATGCAACAGAGAAGATCGTCGTGGGTGCAGGCAGGGCCTTCACAGTCCGTCGCAGTCGCGGCTACCCCCCGTGATCGAGCGCCAAGGGGAGTATAGGTGCTATAGGATGACGCGAGTATGCCATGTAGAACGATGTCGGCCACCCCGTCACTCAGAATGCACCCAACACTCCACTGCATGGAAGGAGCAATTCCTGAGGTTTGAGGGGGTATTTGTAACCATGCAGTGAAGCAACAAGGCTGCTTCACAGCGGTCTCGTGCGGGAGCGCAGTCCGCCATGCTTGGGAGCACGGTATCTTCCGACGGCTAGCACCACGACCAACCAAGCGACCTTTCGGCTTCGCCGTTTCACCCGTTGACGTGACACGTGACCTTTCTACAAGTCAGGAGATGGGTGCACCCAATGGGCACGGTGGGGCACCACGAACAACCGGACGTGAAAGAAACAGGAGGCACTACACGATAGAGACGAGTTGAATCGGTGCTCTTGCGGAGATGACCGTCAGAAGCTCCTTTCATTCTTACCCTTGAGCGCGTTTTGATCTTGAAACCGACACCCCCACGGTTTTGAAACAAAAGGTGTAACCGTCTCCACCTTTCGGAGAGCGCGACCGAGACGGCCGCAGACGTGTTGTTTTACCGAGGGATGGCTGGCGAAGTGATGCCAAAGCTCCACGGCGACGAACCACCATGCACGGCGAAGAAAGGCATGGATGGCGGAGGAGGGAACGACGACGACGGCGACGGCGCGCATCCGTCGCACCCTTGGAAAGCACACATGAGGTACCAGGTCGACCTCGCGGCATACATCATCGACACGGCCATCTCGTCAAAGAAGGGCCAAACGATCGGGCTCCTCTTGTTCTGGGTCTTCCTCGATCTCATCTTGATCCCGTACGAAGCGTTTGCGTACCAAGCCGACAACATCACGCTGCCCCGATGTGCCTATGAAGCTGTCATGGATACTCTCGACCCCAAGAGCGACGACGACGGCCAGGGCACTCTCTCCTTTCTTTGGGTACGTCTGACAACCTCTTCCGAACTGCTTGTAAACTCGATCGTAATAACGACTGACGTGGTGCTGGTGCACGCTGTAGACGTTGCGGTCGCTGAGTGTCATGGTGTGTCTGGTCTGCACGCTGTACGTAAATGTGATCTTTGGCGTGATTGTGGACGGGATCGTATCGAAAATGGACGAGCTCAAGGAAGGTAAGGGCACCGTCATCGAGAACAACCACACGGTACGTTGAACTGCCCCTTCGCTCTGCTTCCCCCAGATAGCTTGACCGCGCCTTCGCAATTTAGCTCATGCTCGGATGGAACGAAAACTCCTTGTCGTTCATTCGGGAAATCTGCGCCGCCAACCAGAGCGAGGGCGGCGGCGTCATCGTTGTGCTGTGTACGAGGGACAAGACGGAGCTTGAAGCCGAAATCTACCATTGCATCACCGACTGGAAAGGGACGAAGCTCGTCGTGTGCTGCGGGAACCCGCTCCTGACCACAGATCTCCTACGCGTGTCCGCCCACCTTGCCCGAAGCATCACAATCATGTCGAGCGACGAGCATGCCGACGTGTCGGACGCCGCACTTCTGCGGACGCTCTTGGTCATCAAGAGCCTTCCACGGGTACTCCCTCTCCCTCGATTGCAATGGCTGACGGTGGCCCTGTAGCTACAAGGCCACGTCGTCGCGGATGTCGGGGATGTCGACAACAACACGTTGCTGCAGGTCGTCGCCGGAGACATTTTAGAAACGGTGGACTCGCATAACATCATCGGGCGGCTCGTAATCACATGCTCGCGGTCGCCGCATTTGTCCGACGTGTACAATGCTGTGTTGGGGTTCGATGGGAACGAATTCTACTTCAAGGCGTGGCCAGATTTGGTCGGGGTCCCGTTCGGTCAGCTCGCGAGCCGCTTTGACAACGCGATCCCAATCGGGATCAAGACAGCGTACGATGCCACAGCGCTGTGGTGCATGTCCTAATACATGTTGCAGCGCTGGCAAGGTCTGGATCCGGCCCTACTTTGCACGCGTCATAGAAGAAGGCGACGAGATCATTGTACTGGCCGAGGATGACAACACGTACACGGCGGCGACGTCACCGGTTGACTCGACGCCGATCACGGCTATGCCGAAGCAGCCCATGCCGATCCCGCCCAAAAACATTATGCTTTGTGGATGGCACCGAGATATCCGGGACATCCTGAGATTGCTCAACCACTTGTCCGCCCCCGACACCCAAGTCGATCTGGTCAACGAAGTCCCAGAAGAGACGCGCGCTGAACGGCTTCAAAACGACGGCCTCGACCTTCGATCGCTCGAGAACCTCCACATCCGCCACATTGAGGCGAACGTGGCCATTCGAAGGCACGCCCAGAACCTGCGCGTGCCGCAGTATGACTGCATTCTCATCATGAGCGACATGAGCAACCATGGCCTGGCCAGCGACTCGCTAGTTCTGGCGTCAGTCGTGATGCTCCGAGCGATCGAAGTTTCGCAGCGATCCCGGAAAAGCCTCGCCGATCTGACCGATGTAGGAACCCTCTACATTTCGCTGCACGGACTCACTAATGCGCTTTGGACATTGTAGGGAACGTCGTCGCTTCACACGGGACGACACGTGCACTGCGTCAGCGAAATCCTCGACCAGCGGACGGAGACAACCATCAACTCGAGCCCGACAATACGGGCGTCGTCGGACTACGTTATGTCGAATGACTTGGTTAGTCGGATGCTTGCGATGGTGTCGGAGAACCGAAACGTAAACGCGATCCTGGACGAATTGCTCGGAGACAAAGGTTCCACCTTTGACGTCTTGCCAGCATCCCGGTAAGATGGCCACCCCCTCGGTCAACCATCCGTCTTGACTGTGACCATGGATGGCGATGCGGTTAGGTATTGCGAGATGAACGAGAGACTGAGCTTCTGGCAGCTCGCCAAGCGTGCTGGCTCAATGTACGAGGAAATAGTATGCGGCTACGTCAACTCGCGGCAAAGGGGGTCCCCAGTCGTACTGAACCCCACGGACAAGGCCGACGTCCGGACGTGGGCAGATTATAGTTTGATTGTGATTCGCGAAGCCGCGAGCAAGTCCAAGCTGAACCGCTACCAGTCCAAGCGATTAATGGTTAAAGTGGTAAGTGCGACGGATTGTCCATCTCAGCCACATGCCTGCCGTTCATGGTGTCTTGGCTTTGTAGCTCCGTGCGTTTCGATCAGTGAGCTCCCTCGTGACGCGACCGACAACGAGTGAACTCATGTCGCGGCCCCGCGGCGGCTTCGTGACAGACGCAATGGATTTAGGGGGAGACGTCACTTGTGTTCACGAAGGCGACAGCGACGACGAGAGCAATCTAGACGAGACCAAACTGCCACGACTGTTGTCACCGGCCGCCAACGGACGACGGCCGTCCGTCGGGCTACGACAGTGCTCCACCAGCGATTCTCTCATGGACGAAGTTGTCCGGGAACAGTTGACGCAGAAGCTCCAGCGCAACTCGTTCAACTCGTCAGGATACAGGATTCGCGTTGAAAACGAGAAACTCACCAAGATGCCTGCGCCACGGCTCAACTACCGACGGTCCATCACGGAAAAGGACACAGCCATCCAGCCCTTTGTCGAAGAGCCCGTGCCCTTACACCCCATCCGAACACTGCGGGAGGAGCTAGCAGCAATTGACGATCTAGTTGTCTCGCTCCGCCGTCTTCTAACGCAATAATTTATCCTGTGCCACCTTCTCCGTCGTGTTGCGACTACGGCGAATGTTCCCCAGGGTTGAAGACGCTCAGCTGGCATGAAAAGAAGATTGGTTCTGTCCAGAACTTCGGGACTGAGCTCATGGACAACGATGAAACGATGCCGGGCATTCTTGCCAACACTGATCAACAAGACAACCAGTTCTGCCTACAAAGTAGAATGTTCTTCTCATCGTCTATATGTTCGCAAATTCACGCATACTGGCGGTAGCGTAAGTGTTTGCTCTTGGAGGTACACCCTTCATAGGAAACTATCGTCACAGTCTTGGTGTGCAATTCTTTCTTATGTAAATCTCGCAAGTTTACAGTGAGCGAAGGCATCCAACCTTCCTGGCTCAGCTCGCTGCCTTCCCCACATCAAATTTTGACGAAATTTGGTCTGTAGGTTTAAGAGGTCATTTCAAGTTTAATTATAGAAATAGATAGCCTCTGAACATTCAAGAACAAGCCCATTTTATCCAAAACTCTCCAATTTTAATGTATTCTAAACCTTTTCAAACAATAACCTTCTAAGTTTAATAGTCACAGATGAATTTCGTAGAAAATACGTTAAAGACCATAAAGCGCTAAATCGTTTAACTAGGTTTTGGTCCATTTCATATCCTCTCGTTGACGCCATGGGACCGCGAACACTCGTGCCAATGACCTCGGCACTGCTCACGGAATTGTTACAAGCAAGCGCACACGCACACTCACGCTGGAGGAGCGCCTTATCATACTCAACATGCACGCCGTCATGCGGCAAGAGGATGCGGAGAGTGGTGCCGCCCGCGACGTCAGTGTCCGCATAAACTATTTTCGGTTGTGTCAAGAAGGCGGACGTTCATCTGATGGAGCTTTACCGATACGTGGCCGCAATTGACGCTGGGGGGCTGAGCGACGGCTCTTCTGATGATGATGTGAGCAGTGATAGTGGTGAGGCTGATGATTGATGAAAACCAATGAATTTTACCTTGATCCTCATGCGTCTTTTTGAAAATAACCTTGCGGGAATGTGACTTTTGAACAACCTGTCATTTGCGATTGGTTTCGGATAAATATCCGTAAGACGGGTGGATGCCTTCGCTCACTGTTACAGTAGACGATGTTAGTGAGCGCACATAATTGTTTCGCGTACCTTTTCATAGCTTATCCATCGCACATGCAGTCTCTGTTACTGGTCGTGAAATTTGGACCCCGTGCACTTTTTCAACACCAGAACAAGAAGGATAACGTGTCTTTCGTGGATACAGACGATCCAATCTGCATCCTCGGGGCGACACAAGACATCTCTCCCCCACTTGATCGACTTGACTACTCTTGCTGCATGACACATGTACTTGTGGAACTCAACGTCTAGCAGGGCTCAATCTCACAACACGGGTGACTTCAGCTCTGACTAGGAAGACGCCATGTGAAGGCTGATCGCCAGTGGACTGGCACCGATGACAGTTTTCTTCACAGTGTCCGCTAACATCTCGAACCTGGATGCAAAAACGAAGTGAAGACGAGGAAGCGCTATCTTTTGTCAAGTACAACTGCGTGGTATGATACATACAGTACTACTTAGCAAGCAACCTTGGGGATTATGGGGGTGTCAGGCAAGAAGGGTTTGATGAACTCGCGGGCAACCGACACTCGCGAGTACACATTAGGGTGGTTTTTTGCATAGATGCAACCAAGGGGTTGGCTCAGTACACCGGCGACGTACTCGACACCGTCGCGGGCGATCACCAATGGTCCACCATCGTAGTTTGTGCACGCGTCATGGTTGGCGCCTTTGGTACACAGCATGGAATCAAAGCGTTTGGCTCGGTTTTTCGTTGCTTTTTGGTAGTCGTCGTTGAACCAGATACTAAGTAGTGGCTTCGGCTTGCAAGAGGACGGGGGAGTTCTGTCTGACAAACGCGATCAAGCCGGAGATCTCATCGACAATCGCAGGCGCTCCGAAGCCACGCACCCACGACACAGTTCCGGGTTCGGTCACAGCGTCTTCGTCCCAGTTGAGCGCGGCGGGAGGGAACTTGGATTCGGTTTCCAATTCAAGGATGGCAAAGTCGTAGTCGAGCGTTTCTTCGTTGTACTGAGGGTGCACGGTCTTTTTGACGATCTTGAAGCGTTCACCGTCCTTGTCGCCGCTCGAGTAGCGCGACCCGATTGAGGCGTAGTTGAGCGACGAGTCGGCACAGTAGACGCTGGTTGTTCTCACTTCCGCACTTCGTGTGCAGCAAGCTGAGACTGGTGTTGACTAGCGCTGTCTTCGATAAAAGCAAAAGTGAATTAGCATGTTACCTAGGGGCGTGCTTGCCCGACCAGACGCCGACATTCCTAGAGATACCGTACCAATCCAGGTACTAACAAGTTTGAACATATCCGATGTTCATACTTGTTCGAACTTGTCCAAACTTGTTCAAACACGACACGGATGTTCGCACCACGCAAGAACAACGTACTTCTCGTGGATCACGATCCCGCGGGAACACTGGTGAGGAGCACCTTGCGGGCAATCAAGGTTGCTTCGCACTCGGTCTGACCGGTCTCGGTCTTACGGATACTCGCCACGTACGTGGACTGGCCTAAGGAGACTTCGGTGCCGCCGCCGGCAAACGCGGAGAGGGCAGCGAGGGCGAGGAGCGTGGTCATGTCGACGTATATTGCACAATGGCAACACAACAAGTCAACGTGGAAGCGGTGGGCGACGAGATATTCCAAACCAACCCGTCGGTGTGACACGGTGTATGCTCCCCTACAACATTCGATTCGTCCCAGCATACAGGCGCCAATTCTATCACTCTAAGGACAATGCGACACGCTTCGGACACGCACGCCAACGACTTTACCTAGATCATTCGTGATAGTGCGATTCCAGTGCTTGGATGGGAGAAGCGTTAGAGGCAACCTTTCCTGATGACAGGAATCGTTCGGTGACACGCACAATTGGGGCTCCTCGCCAAGGGACCGCATGCAGGACATTGTACACGAGATGTCGTGCGTAATTTCCTGGGCGGAAGTTCGGTCGTCGCACGGTGTGGCAAATATGTCCTTACACTTTCAAGAGAAATATCGCAAGGACGTATCGACAGCCCTTCGAATATTGGAACCGTGACGACGTTCTTCCGTGTTTATCGCAGACACAGCGGCGCCTGATGGTGGTGGAACATATCAATTTTGTAGTAGTGTCTGCGGCTGTTTTTCGTACGGTTGTTCGTACACCTTGTAGCGTTGCGACGTCACTTTGTCGCATATTGGAAGGGTGGAGAAGAGGTTGTTCCGATGCTTCGTCCTCATATTCGCAAGTAAGGTGCTGTCGACAACGTCACAACTGCCCTGTCCCACAGGCCGCAGGATGGTACGATAGGAGAACATTTGTAGACGCGATTTCCTGATCTCGACGTCCGTTGCAAGAACGATCGAAAGACTTTAAGAGGTCTTTGACGATACATCGGAAACCGGGGACGCGTTTCGCATCACAGGGGGCAACGGCACATGCAACGTCGTCGAGGGGATCTCGTACGATTATATCACCCTCAAGCCATTGGGGAAGTCCTCGTGAGTGTTAAAGCGGCGTCGCGACGCTACTAGGACGAACAACGTTGTAACAACAGCCGCAGAAACGCATACTACTACAAAATTGAACACATTCATGCAACGAGTGTGTGCGAGGTGATAACGAGATGCCTGCCTACACTTGGTCGCGGAGACGTGGCCGTTTGACGGTATTGGAGCATCCGTTTGGCTGTCCTCCACGACAGGACGTTGAGTGGAGAATATCGTTTGGACAGTCCCATGACCACGTCAGTGCGGCATGCGACGGTGTGCACCATCGCTTGATGGGGATGTTTGGCACACTGTAGTTTGAACCACAGATAAAGATCATGGGAGAACTGCGCCTTCAACTCTAGGCCAACGCACACGCCTAGCTTATGAACAAAGCTAAACTGGCGGTGCATGACGTCGACAAGTGCAGCAAAGCGATGTCGGGACTCGATCGTGATCTCGGATGGAGCTTCAGTTCTTTCGATGGTTCCACTCCATCACCTTGGGGTGTTGCTTGACGGTCTCGTAGATGCGCATGACGTGCGGATACGAATCTGGCGCTGTTTGCGTGGGCACGTCGTGCAGGAGGCCCGTCGTGAGCATGTGCACCGTGAGGTAGATTTCGAGATCGGCCAACGACAAGGCGTCAAGCAGGTACGGATTGCCGGTGCTTGTGGACACAAGCCGTTTCTCCAGTTTTCACTTTGAGATGTTTGCCACACACCAAGGTTGAAATGAGATCCATGTGGACCAAATTCGAATCCGAAGCCCCATGTGCTTACACACGTGAGCAAGAATGACAGTCACGCGCGGCAGCTTACGACGCGAAAGCATCCGCGTTGGTCACCATACTGTTCAATTCCACTGCACTTTGAAAGGCCTGCGGATCAGCCACGGCACGTTCCTGCACAAAGTTGGCGTGGTCGTCCACAGCCGACTGATTCTTGGGCACGGCGTCCTAAGCCTGACACCAGCTAGTCAAGTTGACGTGATGGGAAGGCGTTCGGAGGCTGACACGTAGCTGGAACTCGATCCAGTAGCTCGCGCACGGAAACCGATCCTTCCGGAGATGTGGATGTCGACTAGACTTCGAAAGCTCAAGGATCCTCTGTGCCGGATTCGGGGCTCGAATGAGCCGATCGTGTTGCTGTCGATGGCGCGTGAGTTGGACGCGCTCTCGCTACTAGGCTATTCCGGGAATGCCGCATGTTATCCGCTCACATGAAACGACACGTTAAGACATGAGAACGAATGTAGGGCTGGCGCGTCATTATCTACGATGGGTTGACTAGTGTGAATCTGGCCCGCCTTCCAATGAAGTCAAGTCTATGCCTGTTCGGACTCTGCATCTTTTAACCATGAAATCATCGTCGACCCAGTTGTTCGATGGAAGTCGGCCGTTGAACGGGGGGTTAGGACGATGATGACCATCAAGTCATCCCTTCTCAATCGCGAATGGTCGACACCATTTGACGAGGCTCCGAAACTTAGAACATTCAGCCAACAGACGCTTGACGTCCCTCTCGATGGACGCCAGCATGTTACATGGCTATATGCTAATCGCTCATGAACCTGTACGTTGAAGGTCATCTACTTCCTTCCATATTACCATTCTGTTTGGCGATTGTTGCAAGTCAAGGGCTTAACGCCATCCCATTGGCCTGAAAATCGGTGGTTCTGCTCACTGAAGCACGACACATTCAAGGGTATTTTTACATCTTTTTTAAATGGCGTTTTGCAAACGATATGACGATGCAAAACTCGCATACAAAATCGAAGACGTTTCTGAGCAACGACCAGCGACATGCTATTTATGAAGAGCTTGCGACGCGCAGCTCGAATGGCAAGCTCTCATGCGAAATCGTCACCGACGTCTGCGCCAAATACAACGTCCATGAGACGACTGGGTGGCGCATCATGCAGCGAGCAAGGGCTCGCCCACGTGGTAGCCGCGCAGACGTGTCCACGCGAAATCACCTTCACGGTCGGAAGAAAACCTACGCGCTGGACGAAATTGAACGGCGGATCAAGCAACACCCCTTCGTCTTCGACAAACGTACCGGAGCCTCGCCACCCACCCACACTGGTTTATCTACATTGACCATTTGGAACTATATCAAGCAGCGGTGGATCCTCAAGCGTATCTGCTGGACACGGTCGGCACTCAAGGAACACCATAAGCAGGCGCGAATCAACCACTGCAAGTGTTTCACGTCAGACCTAGGTAACGAGAGCCATAATGAATTGTTTAACGTCGTCCACGTGGACGAAAAGTTCTTGACCAGGATTTTATGCTGCCCGTTGACAACACGGGCAGTCAGGAGGCCATGGTGGCGGTGCTGCCGGAAGCGAGGCACCGAGAGCTGGAGGCAGCGCAAGAGGCGCTCAAGGCGAGGTGAGGACTTCCTACGGCACTCTAGAGGTGGAAGCATGACGCAGAGTCGTCACAGGTTACGTGATATCGTTCTATATCACGAAGATTCTTCGTCAATTCTACATGTGGACCGACGAGGAAAAGCCTTCAAGACGTCAAGTCCAAGGAAAGTCGCACATCACCAAGGTGATGTTCTTGGTTGCCGTCGCAAGACCACGCCATGGGTGGGACGGCAAGGTGGGATGCTGGCCGTTCTTGCGCTCCACGGCAGCGAAGAGGAACAGTGTCAATCGACCGGCGGGGACTATTGTCTACGAGCCTGTGTCAGTGACAAGAGATGTGTATCGGTCATACCTCGTCGACAAGGTCATTCCCGCACTCAAGCAAAAGTGGCGCCCCTTCAGTTACGATGCCCCGCCGACGATCTTCGTGCAACAAGACAACGCCAAGTCTCACGTCGCGCCGGACGATGTTTCCGTGGTCAGCGCTTGCATGTCGGGTGGTTGGGACATCATGGTGCTCAACCAGCCGGCCCAATCGCCCGACATGAACGTTCTTGACCTCGGCCTTTTCAACTCTATTCAAGCACTTCAGCAACGAATGGAATGCTCGTCCATTGAAGACCTAGTGTGCGCCGTCGAGCAGTCGTTTGAAGACTTGGCGCCATCGACGCTGGACAAGACTTTTGAGATTCTGCTTCGTGTGTTCCAAGCGTGCCTAGATGTGGAGGGCAACAACACTTACGACATGCCACGAAGCAAACGACAGAAACAAGCGGAATGTGATGATTCTATTGTTCTCGACATGCTCAAGCTTAGGCTGGAGGAAGAAGATCGTCTCGATGAGCTGTGCGACCTGGTCAATGGCTTGTCTGCTTTGTAGAAAGTAAAAATATTCAGATTCTTTGTACTGCTTTTGTGTATTGAGGTGAAGATTCACTTGCAACTTTTGCCAAACAGAGTAGTACTCTACTCTTGGTGACGCCGAGCGTGTAAGTTCAGCCCCCTGAACTTCCTTATCATTTGTGCACTTACGACTTCCCCCCATTACCGTCACACTGGCTGTATTGTGAGTGTAAGACTATGCTCTTGGCGGTACACCCTTCATCGGAACCAAACGCCACAGTCTTGGTACTCTCGATGTACAGAAGAATTTAGCGCACATCATTTTTTACGCGTACTCTCTATATATGTACCGTGTTTCATATATTTATGGAGTACTCTATGTATCTATAAATGGTACTGTACATTCAATCACTGTTCCAGGTACAGTTGAGGAATTAGGAGTTCACTGCTCAAGGTCGTAACAGGTACGACAAGCGGCAGGATGTTGTTCCGACACCGGCGTCTTGGTTGCAAATTGCTCCTTGACCAAATGCACACAATTTATCATGTTTTCAAAAATATGCAAAACGCAAATTACTTGTCAATTCCAGAAGGACAAAATCGTGAAGAATACCCTTGAAAGTTTCAAGACGTCCGCATAAGTGTAGAGCACAACGATTGACCTCACTTGCTCAGGAAATCCTCGTCTTGAACCAACGATGGCGTCGTCTGGTGTAGACCCCAGTAAATCTTGGGACACATCCAAAGCGCTGCTGGTACGCCTTTGTCCTGTATTGAATGGTTTGACGGTCAAGCTGAAACGCACTGGGAAGATGGGTCGATGCAACCGCACTTGCATCACGTTGCATCGCCCCGTCGGTATGATGCTCAAAGTACTTTGAAAGCGCTGCGCAAGTAGACTGGACAGGATAGGCTTTTCGCGCAATTGCTCGTTGATCTTTTCATAGCACTCCAAATCGCGAGGCTCCGCTGTGGCAATGCAACGACTAGTTTCAACCACTCACCGAGCGTGTCCATAAAACATGTCCTGTGGGCCTGGGCAGTCATAGTTGCCATCCACTGCTTGGGACGATCAAACGATATACATTCACAGTCTGCACTGCGTCCATGAGCGATAGTTGTTGAAGGCCTTATACAACATAAGTGCCCACGGCAGTGGGCTTGTCGAATAGATTTCCATCAAAAGGATCATTAAAGATTTCCAGATTTGGATCATTTTGTAGTACAGTCAAAACTGCCCTGTTGCGTCCCGTTGGGCTGACCGTGCGACCTGCTTCCGCTTGGAGCGACGACCCCTTCGAAAAGTGGTCTCCACTACACAAACGATCTCAGGCTGTGTTTGGAAAAGAGGTGAAAAATCGTCCGGAAACGGAGGGGCATTCAAACTTGACGTTAAAAGAACATGCACCCCAAATTTCAAATCTGACCAGATCCATACATTTTGATAGCAGTTTAGCTTAGCGGCTATTTCTATTTCTTCACAGCTATTACGTTTTACGATAATCCGCGCGGTCAAACCTTCCCTAGGCAGTTGAAAGTGTCTACTTTAGTTGACATGTCAGTTGCGAAGCCATATCACATGGCACAGTATTCAAAATGACAGTGTCCTCCAAATATTTATATTCAGATTCTGCAATA